ATTGACTATTTTTTTCTTAATTGGTGGTGCTACATACACCAATTTGTGTACATAATAGTGTACCAATTAGTATTATGATATTATTATTGACCACATTTATTATACAAGTTACAAATATCCAAAACCATACAAATGATGCCACATCATCTATTAGTACACTAGTGTATACATTAATTGGTACATATAGTATTATTCCTTCTTTTTATTTTTGATCAGCAAAAAAAAGTTTTATTGATAGAAAAACGTACGAAGTATGTAAAGTACATTAATAAAGAGGAGGGTGCAAAAAGTATCATAGTGATATATCAAGATCCCAACCAGGTTGGCACAAAGAAACACACCAAATCATTTGCTAGCACTGACTCCAAGCTCCAAGTTGGTGAGTAACCAACCTACAGAGCAAGATAGGTGAACACACCCTAAGACAAAATACCCCTTTCAAACTATAATCTTTCCCCAATAAACAAACAACAACATCAATTGAACATCAAGGTGAACACACCCTAAGACAAAATACCCCTTTCAAACTATAATCTTTCCCCAATAAACAAACAACAACATCAATTGAACATCAACATTAGCAAAGCAGCAGCAATGGCAAAAGATCGCACTTCAGACCAGAACACACCAAAAAACCAAACTCCTAAGGCAACATACCAAAAATCAGAACAGAAAACAGAACCTCCATCATATCAACAGTGCATCTCTATATACTCACACAAATCATTAAAATTGGGTTGAGCTTCTTGAGAGAAAAAAAACACACACACACACTCAATCTTCTACCTCAATCTTCACGCAGTAAACAAACAACAACAACAAAATTAAACATTAAGTTAGAAACTTAGCTGCAGTGACAAAGCCCATACTTCAACTCAGAACCAACCAATAATCCATACTCCTGAAGCAGCAAACCAAAACAGAACAGAAACAGAACACCTGTAGAAACAGAACACAAAACAGCAATAGATCAGTTACTGAGAAAAACCAGTAGCACCTCCACCACATCGGTAGAAACAGAACACAAAACAGCAATAGATCAGTTACTGAGAAAAACCAGTAGCACCTCCACCACATCGGTAACAGTAGTTAGAATGCAAAAAACAGCAGTAACCAAACAGCAACAGCAACAACACAAATCATGTACTGAGAAAAAAAACTAGCAGCAGCCCATACTTCAACTCAGAACCAACCAATAATCCATACTCCTGAAGCAGCAAACCAAAACAGAACAGAAACAGAACACCTGTAGAAACAGAACACAAAACAGCAATAGATCAGTTACTGAGAAAAACCAGTAGCACCTCCACCACATCGGCAACAGTAGTTAGAATGCAAAAAACAGCAGTAACCAAACAGAACAGCAACAACACAAATCATGTACTGAGAAAAAAAACTAGCAGCACCTCTACCATATCTACAGTGTATCTACACAAAAAAAAAAACCAGTAACACCTCCACCATTTTACAGACAAACTCAAGAGGACCCCAAACAAATTATGACTTGATGAAAATTAAAAACAACATCATTAACTGAGAATGAGGCACCACTTATATGAGATCTTAGCCATATTGCTACTCTTACCTTAATACACTCGCACAGATCATTAAGATCGAACTGAACTTCCTGAAAAACACACTCATTCCTATTCCTTCACACAGACCATAATATTGCTGTTGGTAAAGCCCCTCAAACCTGATTAACTTTGTTCTTAAGCTTCCAACCCAACCACCAAAGTAACAACCCTTAAATGGAACTAAGCATAGCCTACTGAAAACCCCACCATAGAGCAATAGCAGACCATATTTTCCAAACAAAAGGACAATGCAACAAGATATGGTCAACTGATTCAATTGCTTCATGACAAAAAATGCAATTCATAACATCAACACCCACCAAGATGCCAAACCTATGAAGCAGTTGTTTTGTTTTCAGTATCCCTTTCCAAGCTAACCAAGAGAAAACTTTGGCTTTTGGTGGTAAGAAGTTATTCCAAATTAGGTCAATCGATCTCTGAATGGGGCCATCATTTACCAAACCCTGGACAAAACCAAAATGGACCTTGAAGATCCCTGATTATGTAGACTTTCAAACCAAACAATCAACTGAATCACTTCGTAGAATAGGGCCTTCCCCCAAGACAGTGGTTAATCTGGCCAACTCATCTTCTTCCTAAGCCCGAAGTGCTTTTTTGAAATTAAAAGCCCACCCAGCTAGATTAGATCTTCTAGCTACTTGCAAACTCAAGGACAACTCTTTGTCTTCCACCAACTGGAACAATCTTGGAAATTAACTTGAAAGATTTGTTGAACCTAACCAAGGATCTTTCCAGTAACTAACTCTATCTCCATTCCGTATTAAAATTTCCACATTATCCTGGTAGAAATGAAAAAGTCTGCTATTCCTTTGAGCCACAGATAATATAAGCATTATTCATTCTTAATTTAGATTCTTCTTGGGAATTATATAATCAAATGATAAAGTATGTGTTGGACCATCTCTTGGTGTATCAAATTTATCATCAAATTTGAATTTAATGAAAAATGATTTCTTTTTCAGTTTCAATGGTTTCATCAAATTGGTATCAAATCTAAAATTTCACTTTTTTTCATCAAATTGAGGATTAATGTGCCTTTAATCAAATCACTGTTTATTGCTATTGGATTTTTACCACCGGATGTCCCGCAAATGTCCTTTCGGATGACCACCTTAAGGAAAAAGTTTGTGAAAAAATTGCACTGGTCGATTGACAACCTGAATGACCACCTCAAGAAGAAAAATTGTAAAAAATTTGCATTGGCCAATCATCCGCTCGGTCGACCGGTAGTTTGATGAAATTGCAAAACCATCTATTGGAGTACTTGATATCAAAGAGAGCTTCTTTTTAAATTTTTACTTAAATTTGATGACAAAATTGATGCACCGGTTAAAAATGCCCTTAAAAGATTGTTAATACTCCATCCGTCCCAAAATATTAGTCCCCTATTCCATTTTTCATTGTCCCAAAATATTAGTCCCTTTTCAAAAATTAAGTACAAAAATAATATAAATTTCCTATTTTACCATTCTTTTAAATTAATAAACAACATAAAAAGTACAATTATGCATTGATATTCTCAAAAAATGTACTATCAAAAGGATAATTTTGGAAAATCAACTCTTTTCAAATGCAATAATTGTACTACCAAAAAAAGTTGAATTCCCCAAAAGGGACCATTATTTTAGGACGGAGGGAGTACCAAATTTACAGTGATAGATATTTTTTTTAAAGAAAGAATGGCCGGTGTAATATTTTCAAAAGTTAAAAATTTGTTGATATGAAATTCCAATTTTTAAAATGCCATAATCTCTTATTGAGGGTGCTATATGTATATCTCTCATCAATGTATTTTATTATAAATTTTCCTCCTATTGTCCTTGTGTTAGAGCATCTCAATCAAAATTGTTAAATTTTAATTAAAAGTTTATTTTTCAATTTTAACTAATCATCTTTTTAAATATATTTTTAACAAACTCTCTATTTTTTTTTTCCAATTCTAAATTTAATATTTAAGAGAGAATTAAAATAATAAAATACTATCACATTTGTATAAGGTAATGACATATAAATAAAATATTGGATAAATTACATCAACGTCTCTTAAAAATTGAAGAAAATACAACTAATTTCACATGTTTGCATAATTATATTAGACTTCTTAAAAGTTTTAATTTATGTAGTACTTAACTCATTTTTCTTCATAATTTGTTATTCTTAATAAAAAAAAAGTAGTTGTTGTCGTCTTTTTTACATTAAAATGTATATTTTATTTTATTTATCTTTAAGTCTTCAAATACCTACATTCGTTCCAATCCTTTTAAAATTACTAATAAAGAGGTTAATTTAAATATCTCAAAACGTATGATTTGTTGTATCTAAATTTCATGGAAGTCAATGTAATTTATCCTCAAAAAAAATTATATTGAATTTACATACAAAATGATGTAACACTTATGCTCCAGTCATCTCAATTTAAAATACCTATTATTCTAACTTATATTTTCAAAAATAACACAATTATATCATTCTGATTCAGTTTTTATATAAAACTTTTTACAAATAAATTTTCTTAATTTATCAAATTGTGCCTTATCTCATAAAATTGAACTAGTTTGATGATTTCACCACTAATGTTTATTATTAATATAGTAATAATTGATTAAATGACAAATAATATGCAATAAATAAATATAATATATTAAATATTTTATTACCTAAAATCATTTGTTGTGTACTCTCTCTCTAACTGCATGTAGCTAATGGTTTGATATTCAACTAAAGTAGTTAGCCAAGAATTGAGTTTGATGGAGTGTGTAATTATGATTTTATGCTATGAAATAGTTCAAAAAAATGCATTAATGAACTTGATAAATGATGCTCTTAATAGTCCCCCTTATTTCTTTTATTATAAGAGAAATAGAAAAAAAAAATGTAATGAAAGTTAATCTAAATATGATGAATTCTGTGTGAATTATTCAATGATTGTAATGAATAATTGCTCCTATCAATTATTTCTTAGGTGAAATACATTTTTATGATTGTTACTATTTTTGTATATTATTTATAAAGTAAATAAAATTAAGTACCAATGAAAACTTGCACTGACCAAGCCACATTTTTCATTTCCACTTTGTTGATATGTAATTAATGTTTTTAATGTTTTTATTTATTTAATTTTTTATTTTTAAAAATACTAATAACTATCAATATATGTATAGCAATTGTATAATTAAAATATAAAATATATAAAAATTTTAACTATTTTGACAATATTTTCACCCTAAACAGTTCCATAAGTTTTTTTATTTTTTTATTTTATTTTATAGCCTGATTCATTTATTTATAATAATTTTTTATTGTATATAATAGGATCTCAAAGTGAAAAATCCAAACCCGTGAAGGAAAAAGGAAAGGTGAAAGAAAAGAAAGAAAACAAAAAGAAAGAGAGGTAAATCTAACTGGAAGTAGGCTCGCCCTTATCTTTTGGGTCTTCTTCTTTGCTTTTATATACTAGTAGGATATATTTTATTTTGAAATTATTTCTTTGTTCTTCACAAAACACCATCTTGTCACCCACCCAAGTCACCCAACTGTCGCCGGTTCCGGACTCGCCAACCCCCAACGCCGCATCAACCTTCCTCTCTCTACCCTTTAATATGTCCGAACACCATGCAACTACCCACCTAGGTTTTCTTGATCCCCAACCCAACTCTTGATTTTTGATTTTTTTGTTTTTGTTTTGTTTCTCGCTTATTTGTGCTGTTTCTTTCAAGAAAAGTCTTTGCACTTCTCAAAACCATCAATAAAACCCATCTATTATTTCAGGTTCTATCTATGTTCTTTGGAAGTAGATGAGTTGTTGTGTCGTCCACTCTTTAGGGTTTCTTGGTTTTTCTTGGTGAATTATTGATTTAGGGTTTTGGGTTTTTCGTTGTTAGTGTTTTAGCTGTGTTTCTCATCTGGTTTGTTGAGAAAATGGAGGATTATAGTCAGCTGAGTGACAACACAGCTCCAAGGGCTAGTTTCTTGTATGGTGGTCCGGTTCTTGCACCCAGTGCTTCTGTGTATGGACGAACTAACAGTGGCTCGAACGTGAGTAATCATCATCAAACCCAGATGGGTATGAATAGCTTTCATCTTCAATCGGGTGGTTGTTATCAATCTGAATCGCAATCGCATCCAATTGTGAAGACTGAATCGGGAACTTCTCAACACGTTCAGAAATTTCACTACCCTTCTATAATTCGAGGGCACCAAACAGTTCATCATCAACAAGATCATAATAATCAACAAGGTAATGAGAACTCGAATGATGTTGATTCTATCAAGGCCAAGATCGTTGCTCACCCTCAGTACTCTAATCTTTTGGAGGCTTACATGGATTGTCAAAAGGTAACCCACAAACCTCCCATAGAAAAGGTTAAAGAAGAGAGCATGCATTTTATTGATTGACTCTGTGTGTGTGTGTGTGTGGTCTTAAAATTTAGGTGGGAGCTCCGCCGGAGGTGGTGGCGCGGCTCACAGCCGTTCGGCAAGAGTTTGAGGCAAGGCAGCGAGCTTCAGCGACTTGCAGAGATGGTTCCAAAGACCCAGAACTCGATCAGTTCATGGTGACCCTTTTATTTTATTTTTAACTTAACCTGATCATTAGATTGAAGTCCCTTCTTTACAACTAAGAAGTCTTTTCATTTCATTTTATTTTATTTTATTTTATTTATTTATTTTTTTTTCATTCTCTCTTTTATACATACAGTATATGGGAATTGTTCGGGTAGTTGTAAACCCACTTAAAAATTCTAATGGATCTGTAGGAGGCTTATTACGACATGCTGGTGAAGTATAGAGAGGAGCTTACAAGGCCATTGCAAGAGGCTATGGAATTCATGCGAAGGACCGAAGCACAACTCAACTTGCTTAACAACGGCCCCGTCCGGATCTTTAACTCTGGTACCCTCCCCTCTTTCTCTCTCTCTCTCTCTCACACACACTGTTCTCTAGAGAGATTTTACATTTTTATCTTACCTACCGTGGAAAATATGCAGAAGAATGTAGCTATAGTCACGGATTCGATCGTTGCAGAGGTGGATTTGGCTCGGTTTCACTTGATAAAGCTAAAACTGATAGTTCCTCCATTCATTACCTGTCCATTATTTCCTTCATTCATGACTGTCCCCGATTCCAGTGCAGAAAACTTTGACCAATATATGAAACATCCAATGTATCTATATATGTAATTATATATTTTATATATATAGAGAGAGAGAGAGAGAGAGAGAGAGAGAGAGGGGTGGGGTTAAAACCCTAATCAAGATTCACGAGTGTATAGTGAAATTTTTTGATTTGGTTCCCTTAATATGGGATAAACAATGATGAGAAACTAACAACGTAGAGAGAGTAGTGACAAAAATCATTCATGGGTTTTCCTCCAATTTTTAAGCTTACACATTCTCTATATAACTGGTATGCATGTTCATATATGGATATGGATATGGGGCGTATGTATGTAGTCTGAATCTATAGTAGTTATTATGGGAGATATATATAGACCTCGAGATGGGCAGGGATCATTCTTTATTGGCGGGTTATTGGTTGAGTTTTGTCTTTGGCTTTTAAGGAAGCCAAGTCTTTGGCTTTTAAGTGAAACACAAATTTGTTTTTGGTCGTGAATCTAACTTGTATGTATATCTATAATAACTACAAGTGTAATGGGGAGTGGGAGTTGGAGTGGAATAGGCCCTTGGAAAATGAAGAACATAGGATGCTGTTCATTTCAGTGCTACCGCTATTGGCTACCCCATGTTCCCTGTACGGCTCTGTCAGATTTGTTGCCATATTTACTTCTTTCTAATGTTTTGTTTCCTTTTTCAAAATCTGTCTTTGTAAATTTAAATAAAAAAAAAGAAGAGAGAAAAGTCTAAGAACTAATTTGGTGAAAAAATAAAAAAACACATCATTAAGAATATATTCTTTGTATTTATTTTCGTGAAAGGAGTTTTTATTTAAGAAATAAGAAAATAGGTCTTGAAAATCAAATATTTACATTCTACTCTTTTTTCTTTCACTACTTTGTAAGAGGTTATATAAAGCGTAACCCATAAAAATGTGGTGTCCTCTTTTTAATTCATCAGTTGAATAGATTGGTATTTGTCTGTTTTCTTATTTTTGTTCTTGTCTTTGTTTATTCCCTTTTTGCATTGAGAGAGAACCATATATGATTTATCAACCAATGTCTTTGTTTATTAATATCATTTGTAATATGTTTTTTTGTTTTTGTAGTTTGTTACAATACTAGTCTAGGGATACAATCTCACTTGCTATTTTATTGTTATTATTTTGAATCTCAAAAAGTTATTCCCAGAGGATTGAGATGATGTCCCAAAAGGCTGTGAAAATGCATTCTAATTCATATTTAGGGATTGACATGTCCATAGATGGACATTCACACCATAAATTGGTCTTCCTATCAAGCAGATCTGGATCTGCATTTGTGACACTGACTTTGAATTGACGCATGCTGCTCAGTTTACTGCTTACTGATTTGTTTGTTCATGTAAATTTTTTCTCTTTTCAAAATTTAAAGCTTCCTAGATTTGAGTAAGCTGTAGATTTTAGTCTTTACTCTTGTACAGTTGCATTCTTAAAGTTAATTTCCCAATTAGATACTTTTTTAAGTGTTGCTATCTAGTCAAATGCAGTTAATTATGGTGTTTTTGTTTTGTTAGAGCGTGTAGAGTTGGCCTTCTGAAATTTGACATGGAAGTTGCTAAAACATTTTTCTTCTTCCAATGCAAGTTGGTTCTAGAAAACTTGTTAATTTGCTTGAATTCTAGTTTAAACAGACCGCCTGTGACAATTACTTGTTCATTGGTTTAACAAGGTGATTCAATTTGCTTTGTACACTTTCAGACAATGGAGTAAGATTTTTGGAACAAAAAATAAAGAAATTAAAGAGAAAAAAAAGGTATGATCAGAATTCAAACACAAAATTTGGGATAATTTTTGTTTCTACAATTAATAAGAGTTTCATGAAGTGGTTATTTTTTAGATCAACAGAAAGGAAACTTTATTAATGGAAAAACGTACAAAGTATGATAACGTATATCAACGAAGAGCAGGGTGCAAAAGCATCACTTCACCAAGTGGTTATTAACTGTGAGTTCAATAAAGTGTTAATGTTTTCTTCATAAAAACTAATGGTTGAGCCAGGAAAAGGGGAAAGGGAACTCCACAAAGTGGTTGAGGTTGGCTTGCCACCATCAATTCATGTCACTACTACTGAGAGAGAGAATGAGAATTACCAATTTGTTCGAGAATTACCAATTTGCTGGGCAGTCTCATAATCACTGACAATTATCACTACTACTTAATGACTGCAAGAACCCCTCCTACCCAGTTTGTTATAGGCAACCATGCTTTTGCAGGTTTGTAGAGCATCGTGTTAGACACAGGTGTTGAACACAACACACCTCCTCCATAGAAGTGTCTCTGCTTATTATTGTGTCACCACTCTGACAATTTATTTATCTAGTTTTTGTAGTTTCTTTGATTTGAATTACTGTATTGTAATATTTGTGGAAGAGATGAAAGGATTGCGGGGAGAATAATTTTTGTGTGTGTGTGTGTAGAACCCCAGAGAGAGACTGAGTGACTTTTTACATGTTTGAGCTTTTGCAGGAATATAAGTTTGTCTTATCTAGTAGCTTTGCCTCAACATCTTTTTTTCCAATACCATATTTACTTTTCTTCTAGTATTCCGATGTACCCAAATTTTTTTTTTTACTTTTCTTCTAGGGAAATTATATATTGACTTCACTTTTAGCCTGCAGTTCCTTGTGGAGTAACCGCAATGTACACACGTAACACCAGGGTCAACATACATTGTTTATGACTCATATCCACCTAAAATTTCGTAATTCACACCATGGGCCAACTTATATTGTTTTTGAATTGACTTATGAGAAAAAAGAAATAAGTGAATTAGCAGGCTATTATCACCTTTTCTTGAATTGTTTCTTATGTCTTTTTCTTGTAATTATCTTTATGCAAATGCATAAGGCATATATTGTGGACGTACTAAAATTGCTACGAAGATTAAATTTTCTGGTGATGTGTAACTGCTAGTATTAAATTTTCAATGTCGTTTGTCAGGAAATAACGTATCTTTGTGTTTCAATGCTTTTTCCATAGAGCTTACATTTGTCTTTATGAATTTCCAACCATTGAATGCACAGAGGAGAAGTGCGAGGGCGTTGGTTCATCTGAAGAGGAGGATCAAGACAACAGTGGTGGAGAAACAGAACTGCCAGAGATTGATCCACGCGCTGAAGATCGGGAACTGAAGAACCACCTGTTGAGGAAGTATAGTGGTTACTTGAGTAGTCTCAAGCAAGAGCTTTCCAAGAAAAAGAAGAAAGGGAAACTACCCAAAGAAGCTCGGCAAAAGCTACTCAATTGGTGGGAGTTGCACTACAAATGGCCTTATCCTTCGGTATCCTCACCCTCTTCAACTGATAATCTTTTCAATATTCTTAAGAAACAAACAACATTCTAAGAAGAATTATTTTATTTATTTATTTATTTATTTTTTTTTGGGGGGGGGAATTCTTTTTCTTGTCCATATATTTTTTTGAGTTATTAAGACAAGGATTGTTGTGATAACTACACAGGAGACCGAGAAGGTGGCCTTGGCAGAATCAACTGGTTTGGACCAAAAACAAATTAATAACTGGTTCATCAACCAGAGGAAACGACACTGGAAACCGTCTGAAGATATGCAATTCATGGTAATGGATGGAATTCATCCACAGAACGCAGCTTTCTATATGGAAGGACACTATATGGGCGAAGGTCCTTACCGATTGGGGCCATGACCATGAGAAATAATCAGAATGGGTGGCCTTCAACAACCCATCTTGCATCATAACTATTAGTATTCGCTTAAATCTCATTTTTAGGCTTTGGCACGGAATCAAGCTCTTTAACCGTGCTGTGTGATTGTTAATGCTAGGGTTGGGTAATGCCTATGACAGCCCAATCTGATATATTTTATTGGAAATGTCTTACCTATGACTATGTTTAGTGTGTCTTCATGTTTTTGAGATTATTAAACGTGGATTAAAGCAGTACTTTGCCGTGTGCCTGGTGTGTGTAAACCAGATAAGATGAGTTCATGCAATTTGTAATATATTTAGGGCATGTACTATTACTTTGTTGAATTGTATATGATGATAAGAGTAGCTAATATGGTGTTAGTGTTGTCATAATTAGTAGTCACATTTATTTTTATTTATTTATTTTTTGGGTTCTCATTTCAGTAAGTTTGATGTTGTTTATCAGCACACAACTTCTGGTGAGTGAGTTTCGAAGTATTTAAATGCTTGCGTTTAATATTTCAATCTCATACTCATAAGTGGCCCCCTTTATTTTGAAAATTGTGAACAATTTTGTTGGTTATACGTTTGTGAGTTTTTTCAAGTACATTAATACAATATAATAATATATATCTTACATTTATATTATTATTTATGCATAGGTAACAATCGAGCCAAGTTTTAGTGAGAAACTTATTTTAGTTTGAGATTAAATTCAGTTTGAAAGTATATTATGTTGTGAGATATTTTGTATTTTACTGTACATTCAAATTAATGTTATGATGGTATATATTGTTTATTTCGGGTAGGATTTTGAGAGTAACAAAAAAAAAGAGTTGCATAGTTATTCTTGTAATCCTTATTGCATATAATGAATTTTTATCATTTTTCTCTGTGGCCTTGGGCATTTTATTGAACCACGCATTTCTTGTGTTATTGTGTGTGTATTTATTCTCTTGTTATAGTTTATTGTTGCATTTCTTGTGTTATTGTGTGTGTATTTATTCTCTTGTTATAGTTTATTGTTGCATTTTATTGAACCACGCATTTCTTCTGTTATTGTGTGTGTATTTATTCTCTTGTTATAGTTTATTGTGTAATCAAAATCGTGTTCTTGTATAGCACTTTCAAAAGAGCTTGAATGAATCATAAATGAGTTCATTTGGAGCCATCTATGAACTACTCAATTCGTTTATGATTATGATAGTTTCTAATTGAATCACACTTTTTAAGTCTTCTTGTCCTAAGAGATTGTGCTCCATGTGGTACATCTCAAATTGTGAAAGTGTTGTCAAGAAACATATATAGTTATTCCAAGTCTTTTTTTTTTTTATTGGCAAAAAATCTTTATTGATGAAAAATATACAAAGTATGAAAAATACATCAATAAAGAGGAGTTTGAAACTAGTTCAAGCTCCAAGCTTCAAGCTAGTGAGAAACCAACACAGAGAGCAAAAGCAAATACAACTACTTGAGTTTACCACCCATCAACAGAACAGCTGAGCAAACCTACAGCCAAGCTCCAAACTAGTTGCAGCCATTGCAGTCCACATAACAGCATAGCAGTCAACTAGTTGCAGCCATTGCAGTCAACCAGATTCTACCCATTGCAGTCAGCTACTTGAGCTAGTTCTGCATGGATATGTTGTACAATATTCCACACCTAAAGATGTGTTCATGAGTCATTCCTTAATTCATACAACTTAACGTAGCATTTGTGTGAGAGGCCTGTCTGTTGCTCTCTTTTGTGTTTAGTGCTTGCAATGTGTAGTCACTTTCAGGGAAAAAAAGAAAAGAAAAGAGAATTTATGTTTAGTGAATTGAAGTTATACAAAAATAGGATTTAGTTATAATGAGTAGGACTGTAAATCAATAGAATCATTTATGATCAAATTCGAACTTGGTTAGGTAAGGGCTCGTTCGAAATCAGTTCCCTAAATTTTTATTACGTTTGAATTCTAGCTCATTAAAATCTTAATAAAAAGTCCAAGCATACTAGAAGTCGGTTCGTTAGCTTGGCTTGTTAGTTGGGCTCGTTTAATATTTATTTAAATAATAGAAAAAATATACTAGTTATATATTAAATAACATAAAAATATGTACTATAAACAAGGGGTATTTTTTTAAGGTCCCTGATATTATGATTTCATAGTATAAAGGACATTAAATATTTTCATGATGTCTAAGGTCTCTCAACATCAATCCAGAGAAAATTGGTCCAGAGAAATTTCAGTCCTAGAGAAATTCTCTCCAGAGAAAATTGAACTTCTCTCCAGAGAAATTCTTTGGATTCAAACTAGAGAAATTCTCTCACTGTACAAATTTCTCTGGCTCTTTTCTAATTTTTGCATGCCATTTACACTTCACAATTAGTGATTAGTATTTCTGATCCACAGCTAATTAGTATAACAATTCAAGAACATGTATAACCACTTAGAATAGTAAATTAGTATAACAATTCAAGAACATGTATAACCACTTAGAATAGTAAATTAGTATAACAATTCAAGAACATGTATAACCACTTAGAATTTTTTTTTTTTTTTTTTTTTTGGTGTTAGTAGAACAGTCAAAATTTGGTCTTTTAGCTCTAGTTAGATTTAGAAACCTTACCTCCCATATTTCTTGATCAGTGTGTTCTGATAAAGGGTCTAGATTGAATCTCACAGACCCACAAAAGAGAGTTGGATCTTGTGGAATTACCCCAAAGTGTGATCTACGGTTATGAATTTTCTCCAGAGAAATTCTCAACCCAGAGAAAATTCTCAACTTAGAGAAAATTCAATTCAAATGAAAAAAAATAATCGAAATAGATGTTCTGTGAGCTAAATTACCAGAGAAATTCTCAACCCAGAGAATAGTTTTGCAAAAATAGTTTTGGAACTTTTGACAGCCCAAATCAAATGGACAAAGCATACCCATTAGCAAAATACATTGTCCAACGGCTCAAGTTGCCTAGCTATTTTAGTGATAAAAGTTTTTGCTTGCTCTCACCATTGCTGGGGAAGAGATCGTCGGAAATGGAGTTCTCGGGAAGGCTTTTAGTTCTGGGTCTCTGGTTTGGTTAACCAGCGGTCATCAACTTCAGTTTTATAACTGTGAGAGAGCTAAACACTTTCTGATATCTTTGCAACACTTCTTGATGATTGATAGGCAGATCAATGCGTGTTTCATTGGTGTTGAAGGGAATGTTCTGCTTTGAGAGAGCCTTCCCCAGTTTTAGGGGTTCATTTGGAGAGAATTCCAGGTTAAAGACAGTAAGATATTACACAAAAATTAGGATCATATATGCCACTGTAAAGCAACAAATCTAAGATACAAGACAACAAAAACCATTCCAAAGAAGATTTACCTGACATCGTGTATCATTTAGACCATACACAATTTTTAGATGCCTCTTTAGTTTCGAAAGTAGCTGTAGCGCAATAGCCGAGAGTCTCTCGATTTTCTCTGGCACACCTTCTTTCAGGTTTGTGTTTTTTCTCTCTCTCATCTGTTATTATATATATATATGCTAGCGGGGTTTGCATATGCGACAATCTATAAAGCCCGGCTACGAGCAGAGAAGGGTCGGAGATGGAATTAGCATCCTTAATTTGATCGGCGGAGACGAGACCGGCGTAAATGGTGTTGGCGATGGAAGAGAGCGTGTCGGAAGGACGGGTTTTGTAGTGGGTGGATCGCGGATCAGGGCGGGAGAGTAGAATAGAGATATTTAGGGACTTAGACATCAAAAAATAATTTTGTGGATCTTTTCCATTACGAAAAGTGGGAGAGGGACCCTAAACCAATTTTTCCTATAAACAATCGGATAAATGTGTTATTTATAAATTTAATAATGTAAATGTAAATAATAACTAAATTTATATATATGTAAATAATAGCTAACTATAGATAATAAATTTAGATAATAGTGTGTTAAATATTATTATTTTGTAAGATATTGACTTTTCTTTTAATATTTTGATATATATTATATATATAATTGTATAATTAAGGTTTTAGTTATAACTTAATTCTCATATGCAAGTATGAATTTAAAGATTTTTTGGCTCATTAAGGCTCGTGAATAGGTTTGAACTCGAGTCAAACCTAAGCCAACTCGATTCGAGTTCTGTTAGGTTTTATTTTTGACAATCCCATTTGACAAAACTCTTTTCAGTTATAATTATATTCCATCTTTTATTTCAGTGAGGCTTTGAGTTTTAGATGCGAATCTAACCGAAATTGGGCCTTGCAAAGATGTTTCAGAAGTTAATTCTTTCAGGATTGCCACTTCGTTGACTATGTTGGAGATCGCGACCTTTCAGAAATTTCACTTGCCTGCAAAAGTACTAGGAGTTGTTTTCTTTTGCTCAAGCGTAGATCCACTCGAGCGGAGATCGCAAATCTATTTTTTATAAATATGTGGTTCAGTCAGATTTTAGGGTTACGATTTCCAAATCTTCTTCTTGGGTATTAGAGTTTTATATCTAGAGTTTCTTTGCTTGTTTTCGTTAGATATCTGTGAGAGTTTAATAATGAATTGAGTGGATTATATCAAAGGTTTGTTTAGTTTGTTTTATTCACAAAGAGAGAGTTGTTCTTTGGTAGATTCCGGAGAATTTGGGCCAGAAGGTTTGATGGATTCTGGAGTGGCTCATCGTCGTGGATTCAACATTGGTGTTGTGGATTTAACGTTGGGCAGGACAATTCCGAGGTGAAGATCGTGGTGAAAGAGGCATATAGGGATTGGTTCAATTTGGGCGTAGATTTGTTAAGTAATTGAGAGTGCACTTGTGCAATTCTTTTTATTTTCTTAGTGGATTGTTTTGTAACTTTTGCCCATAATTTTTTTTTTTATCACAATTGGAGACACTCTAATTATGATTTTTCCACATTAAAATCATTGTGTCGATTTGTCTTGATTGTTTGATTGAGATTGTTATTTACTGCTTAAAATTGATACATAATCACAAATCAATATTTAAGGGATTTCTAGATTTTTTAAGTTCAGTTTGTTAAAATTTTATTGAGCTCGAACTTGAACTTATTTTCATTAAAATCTAAATAAACAAGTCCAAACAAACTAAAGTTTGGTTTGACTCAACTTGTTTTCCGTCCAAATAACTAGTTAAGTGTTAAAAATTTGCTACTTTATGTGCATTACTATAGGTAAAGTTTTTAAATTGTTGTTGTTGTTGCTGATGTTGTTGTTGTTATTTTGATTTATTTTATTTTATTTTGGAGGAAAGAAGACATAGATTAAAACAAACAAAAAAGTTTTACAACAAAACACATCACCTAACAGCAGCCTTGGCCTCCCAATGTGCTTGAACTACTATCCTTGAAACTTTTACAATACCAATATAATCAAAATACATAAGACATAGCTCTGACATCATCAACATACT